GTTCCATCAACCCTTTGGATTATGAATTTATTGCCAATTTGTTTCTGAATATTTAGGACTACGGATATATTCATATAGCAATAAACATGCTTATTGATCGTGACGGAATCACGGAATATTCACAATCTGTTTGAATGTATATGTATATATATACGATTTTTTTTTTCAAATAGTTCAAAGTATATATAAACTTGCTGGTAAGAAAAAAAAGTATGTGTACGCTCTTTTTGATTGTCGGGTTAATTCTTGAAATCTTGCGCGTTACTGGCTCTAAGAATTATATATATATATATATATATATATAATTCAGGCATATATATATAAAATTAAGATTGAGTTTATGTGTGGAGTTGTAGGACATCTAGGTATAGGATATTATTATAGATATAAATTTATTTAGTTAAGCTAAGTGAATCTAATTACAATTAATTTGGGGATGGTAGAATAATGAAGGCGGATATTTTCCATTCTTTTTCTTCCTTCCAAGTTTTTATTTATACATAAAAGTGGTGCTTTCAAAAGTATTTACTAATATTTATTGCAACAGAGCAATCGCACTAATTAATAAAAAGATTTAAATTCACGTCTTGTAAGTATGAGTTGTATATCTTCGAGAATTAAATAGATTTTGGTTGGATATATATTTACTTGTTATGAATATGATAAAAGTCAATTGCGTTGTTGTCTGTCCAGTGGGACCAATTAACATTGAATTAAACTTGTGGCCAGAGAGCCGTTTAGACAGGTGAAAGTAGTGCAGTGTGGGGACTCTACTACAATGATTAAAGAATCGGACCGGACCGGACGGTCGGACCGGTTGAACCGTCACCCGGACTCGTTAGCGGCTCGGTTTGGACCAAAAAACCGTTCACATAGTTGAGCCGGATTGGACCGGAGTTGAACCGTTATTAAGCTGGAAACCGGAGTTGGAACGGGAACCGGAACGGTTTTCAGAAAACCTGACGGTTTTTTAGCCTGACTGAAAAAATACTAAAAAATTTAAAAAAAATAGAAGAAAAAATAAAAAAAATTGATCCCCTTAAATATCCTAATATATTTTTAGACTATTTATAACCATAAAGTATTATTCATTGAAAATTTCATATATTGTGATGTTAAAATCGTGAGTCGCTAGTCTTTTGTTTCGATATTTGGTCTATCTTTTAAAAAAATATTTTGATTTGAATGAATTGATAATTTGTAATATCATTAAATATTTTAAACATATATAAATTTAAATATATAAGGTTTTAGTTCATTTTCAATGATTTCATTATAATTTTAGATTATTTAAATGCATTTCTAAATTATTTAATAATTTGATATTTTTCATATATACTAATTATATGTATATAATATAGTTTTAAATTAATTATTGCGTCACCGGTCCGACCGAACGGTCTGACCGATCTGACCGATTAAACCATGACCCGTTGATATTTCCGGTTCGACTTCCGGTCCGGCTTTTAAAACATTGCTCTACTATACACGGACTTGGCTGTATATTACGTATTACTTCTTCTCTTTCCAATATCCCATGTTTCACCTAATACTACTTCCTATCTCCAATTTAGTTAACTAATTTGAGTAAATTAAATAAGTTTGTTAAATTAGTTATTCATGGGTGTGGTCTTCCTAGAAGTACTCTTCCTAATCATGTGTATTAATTAGAACTATCATTTAATGAAACTTTTAACATATGAAATCAATACAAGGACTACTTTAAAAAAAAAAAAGATCAATATAAGAGATAAAATAAATTAGAATCTTATATTTAAGACTAAATTAAATGTTAAATTAGCATTTATATTAAGAACTGGATGAAGTGATAAGCTTCAAAGCAGCAACCTCGTCGGAATATGTGTGCTTGTTACAAGGGAAAATTGGTATAAAAGATAAAAGACAAATTTATTTGACACAAAAAACTAAAAGAGTATAGTGTTAAAGATGTCTTGTAGAATTTTGAAATCACTTTGCAGAATTCGACTCGTTTAAAGATGTTTACGTCTTTGATAATAAGGGTGGCCTTTTGATTTCTTATACCATTTTTTTCCATCGTTATAATGTGAAGATAAATAAAAAGGGAAAACTAATTACTTCTCGGATCCTAAAGATAAGACTTATCTTGTAGTACAAATTGTGTTATAAAATGGGTTTTATATTTGGAATCGGAAGAATAATTTTTTTATTTACTTTTTCACTGAGTCATCTCTACATTATTTCTTTTTAAGAAAATTATTTCTGACAATGAAATTAAGATACATGTTGGTCCCTTGATATTGATATGCGCAGATTGTACGTTACATAGCAATAATATTGAGGGTGTCATGAATTTAATGGTGATGCTGGTTGTTGGCTTCACTTAAAGTTCTAAATGTAAACCTGCACTGGCTCTTTCTACCAGAAAATATTCTCTATTTATCTCTGTTTTCTTAACCTTTTTGTCTTCGATTGATTGTTTTAGTGCATATAACTTTGAGAATATTCCCCCCCCCCCCATATAGGTTCTGTATTTAATTTCACATTGTAAACTATTAAATAAAAAATGTGATTTTGGTATAAACACGTACACTAAAAATCATGATTTTTGACATCAAAATAAACACGCACGGGATGTTAATTTCTCTCACTACTTGCTTGTAATATGTAAATATAATTTATACAGGTATTGATGTAATTCCATAACAGTGACGATTCTGTTTGAACACTACATGAAGAACTAAGCATGGAGCATATAAGCACAACAAAGTTGCCCTAGAGTTTTTGATTATGAAATTTTTATAGAACTAAAGCAGAAAATGATGCAAAAGAATCATATGAAATTTTTCAGCAGAAAGTCAAATGTTGGTTCATTACACCGTAAAGGATTAGTTTCTTTTGCTAGACTCATTCTCCGCCTGTGTTAATACTCCTTGAATTTTGAGCAGTACAATCTGATAAATCAACAAATTAAATTGATTTTGGGCTCACAGTGTCTGGGCTTCTAAAGAAAAGTATGAATGGAACTTAATCCAGAAGCCCATTTGGTGTTATATTGTGGGCCTCAAACAAGAGCAAACATAATGCCCAATTAATGCTGAGATCATAGCTCATAATAGAAGAGCCAACCAATGAAATTGTATTTCAGGTTGATTTTATTGAATGGAGAAACTATTAAGAAGTTTATGTTTATATGATTACGTTAATTAAGTTGATTTAATTAATTAGATCCTAATGTGGATCTGAAAACTGATGGATACATATAGGATATCCAAAATTATGGATATATATTTATATTAAGTTGATTTGTTTCAAAATTGCTTTCTATTTTCCATAGTTATTATAATTATTTCTTTAAAAATTATTTTGGAATTCAGATTTAAGTGAATTATTCGAAACAATATAGTAATTGCTGAAACACCAATTCGCCGCTCTAAGTATATTTTTCACACCAGTCTATGCATTAAAATAACATATAAAATTGAGGAAGAATAACAAATAATTTTAACACAACTTAATTTGTGGTGTTTTGAAACCACAGTTAAGCGTTAATTCTCTTTCCTGGGCATGATCAAGAATATTATTCTCGTTCACCTCAGTAAAACCAAATTTTGGATGAGTTAATGTATAGCAGTATTTTCCCCTTCTACTATCCCATCAACGTCTTAAACCTCAATAAACACTTCAGTTAATTTGTGAATTTTATTTTATTTGTCTATATATATTCATCAAAATTTTATCTCTAAATTTCACTTATAATTAATAAATATTTAATATGTTTCAACCAAAACATGTGTGTGTGTGTGTGTGTGTGTAATTAACACGATGAAATTCTTTTAGTATGATATAGCAAAAGTTTAATTTATTTTATATAAATTATATTTGGTCACTTATTACTTTAATCTCTTTTTCTTTTTACTTTCTTCTTTTAAATATATCGTGTAATATCAATGCCCCCATAAAGTTAGAGGAAACTAATTAAACTATTCATGATTATGAAAATCCAAATATTATGGAATGTCAAGTCTTAATTAATTAAGCTAGCAGATCCTGGTGAGCTGATTCACTTATGGTTAATCAGGCTTTGTTGATGATTGAGAATTCCATGAATACTTTAGGTGAGGCAGTTTTTAAGCTGCCCGGTCCTAATAATAAATTATTGAAAGAGAATGTTAACTACTCATATGTGTTTTTATCTCTCTCTCTCTCTCTCCCCATGTGTGTATATATATATATATATAGCCAGATATATAAATACAACTTTTTTCGTAGCTTAAACAATGTGAACTTCTCATTGTGTATGAAGGGAAAAAAAAGAGTAAAACAAAAGAGAGAGAATTCAAACATCTCCAAACTATAACTTATAAAAAAGGACAAATCAGTTTAAGAAAATTATAACTTCAAAAAAAAAAAATCAAAGGAAGCATTGTTTTTCCTTTTAGCAGTTTTTTTTTGGTGACAAGTAGTTCTTGTTTTTTAATTTTTTTTGCTCAGATTTCTTTTAGTAGTTATGCTAATTATCTATATTTATGAATACAACTTATTTTGGACTTTCTCAAAAGTATGCCAAAAATTCTTTTATATATAATAAAACACTTTTTATGAAGATGCGCAATTGTTTCCAACTTTCCATTAAAATTTAAAAGTTATAATAATAAATTAAATATTAATAATCCCTATTGTCGTGTGATACTCATCCTTATTTATTAGGTGTTCCCAAAATTTTTGAACAACGCGATCATTATCTTTTTTGAAACTAGTTTATGCCCTCATCTATGACGAACTATTTAGATTTCATATCGATTGTTCAGATTTAATTTTCTGTACTGTTGCTTTTTAAATTTTTTTTAGGGGTATAGAATCCAAAATAAAAATGATGTTTTAATTATTAGTTTATTAAAAATATTTTTTATTTCAAATTTATCAGTTAAAAATTTTAAATTTCAATATATTTAAATAACGTAGATCTCATCACAGCATCATCATCATACTCATCGTTGCAGTTAGCAGGCAAACTATATTTTAAATTGTGCCTCCGGCCCTCCCTCCCTTCTCCAGTTCTCCACTGTCCCACATCATTACAATCCTTCGAGCCAGCAACACATATCGTCATCTTCTTCTCTGTCTGCCATGGTATCCCGGGATGCCTTCTGTCGTTTCCAACCCATCTCAAAATGCAGCACACTTGAACGGCAGAACCAAACCGTCGTTTCCGACTTAGACGGCACGCTTCTCGTGTCGCGAAGCGCTTTCCCTTACTACATGCTCGTCGCTATCGAAGCCGGAAGCTTCCTCCGAGGACTCCTTCTTCTTGCTTCATTCCCCTTTGTGTATTTCACCTACTTGTTCGTCTCTGAAACTGTGGCAATCAAAACTCTCATCTTCATCACCTTCGCCGGACTCAAGACCAGAGATGTGGAGCTCGTGTCGAGGTCAGTGTTGCCCAAGTTCTACGCTGACGATGTCCACCCAGAGACTTGGTGGGTGTTCAATTCGTTCGGGAAGAGGTACATCGTGTCGGCGAGTCCAAGGTTGATGGTGGAACCATTTGCTAAGACGCTTCTTGGGGCAGATAAGGTCGTAGGTACAGAGCTGAAAGTCACGAAATCTGGGAGGACACTGACAGGACTCGTTAAGGAATCTGCAGGAGTACTGGTTGGTGAACATAAGAAATTAGCTCTTGTCGAGGAATTTGGATCTGAATTACCAGATTTGGGACTGGGAGACAGTGAATCTGACTTTGACTTCATGTCAATTTGCAAGGTATGTACGCATAATCTGACTGTTCTTTCTTTTGACAATATTAATTTCCTATCATTCAAATGGCCCTTCTAATACTCTGGTCTATTTAACCATATATATACGCGTGTGTGTTGGGGGGGTATGTATATATCAGAGGGGAAACACAACAGACTAAAGGACTAAAGAAATGAAAATTTGAAGATTCTTCTCCGTACATGGTTGACTACTATAAACGGCCAGATATGTTCCTATATAGATCAATACATAATATTGATTTTGGTCATGCACAGGAAGGATATAGTGTGCCAAGAAGAAAGTGTGAGCCACTACCACGAAATAAGCTTTTGAGTCCAATCATCTTTCATGAAGGACGTTTTGCACTGAGGCCAACCCCTCTAATGGCACTTTTGGCCTTCCTATGGCTACCCTTTGGTATCATACTCTCCATCTTAAGGGTATTCCTCAACATCCCTTTACCCAAACAACTCTCTTGGTATATGTGCAAGCTTCTTGGTATTAAGATCATCGTTAAGGGCGCCAAACCTCCTGCCCCACAGAAAGGACAAAGTGGTGTCCTTTTCGTCTGCAACCATCGTGCTGTGATTGACCCTGTGATAACTGCAATTTCTCTTAAGAGAAAAGTCAGCTGTGTGACCTACAGCGTTAGCAAGTTCAGTGAAATAACATCGCCAATCAAAACTTTTGCTTTGTCAAGAGACAGAGAAAAAGATGCAGAAACTATAAAAAGACTGCTTCAGGAAGGTGACTTGGTGATTTTCCCTGAAGGAACCACGTGTAGAGAACCATTTCTGTTGAGGTTTAGTGCTCTTTTTGCTGAATTAACTGATAGGATCGTTCCTGTGGCTATCAACACGAAGCAGACTGTGTTTAATGGGACCACAGTTCGTGGGCATAAGTTACTGGACCCTTACTTTGTGTTAATGAACCCTATGCCTACTTATGAGATCACTTTTCTGAGCCAGCTTCCCCTTGAGCTCACGTGCAAGGGTGGAAAATCCAGTTTTGAAGTTGCGAATTATGTTCAAAGAGCTATTGCCGAGACATTAGGGTTTGAGTGTACGAGCCTGACGAGGAAAGATAAGTATGCTATGCTTGCCGGAACTGATGGGCGGGTCCCATCGAAGACGAAGATGATGGAGAATAAAAAGGCTTGAATGCATGTTGAACAGTTATAAAATATTGGATAAAACAAGCGTATGTGCAGCAGATTTGTGATGGAGTATTTTGGTGTTTGATTTTATTATTGTCAAAGTGTTTCTAGGTGTTGAGGGCTACATATAGATGTATAACGCTAAACATATTTGATTGTGACTCAATATTTACCATCTGCCTGAAAGTACCTTTATCTAGGCTTTAGTGTTGGTCTCAGTCCTGAAAAGTAGCGTTTTCATCTGTGCCTAGAAAATATCAAAGTCATGCCCATATGCAGACTAGATTGCTAATGTGTAATTAAACATGGTAAATCAAGTACTTAAAATTATTTTTGGATAATATAACTTTTAGTCACCTTAATATTTTCAGTCATAATCAGTTTAATTTTTAACTAAATACAATTAAATTATTATTTCTGATTTTTAATATAAGATTTAGTTTGTAATTTTAAACTATAAATTAGATCTTATATTAAGGATTAAGGACGATAAGTAATGCTTAGGTAAAAAAAAAAGTTATAAGAAGTAAGTTATTTGGAGTCAAGAAACTATATGGATTTGATTGTTCTGATCAAGATCTGAAAGTCAATAATTGAGGGCACAAGTTTAACTAGGGACCACAAGTTATATGTTTCCTAATGTTTTATTTTTGGTTCCAACATTTTTTTGTATTAAACCATTTGATCTTCTATAATCGCATTAGATCTCGACCAGTGCAGGTCAAGTCGGGCCACAATGAGAGCAGTAAAATTATCTCAATGAGTATTTAACACCACTGTATATCTAACCTCCAAGGCTTCAACTTATTTACTTGATACCACCTCTGGCTTTTAATATAAGAATTTGTTTAATTTTTATTTTGATCTTAAATATAAGATCCCAATTCACTTTGTCTATTGTATTTATTCATGTTTTTTGAAAGTAATTTTTGTAATAATAGTAGATCTAGCTAATACACTTGATTAGTAAGGATATTTTAGGAAAAACAACATAAATAACTAACTTAACTATTTTTTTAATCCACTCAAATTAGCCAATTAACTCTTATGTTAAGGATCCAAAGTAATAAGGTATAAGTTTCTTGCTGTCGTTTTCTTCTCCTATCGGATTCATTAACTACACAACCTATATTTCTATCGTTGCTTTGTTGTTATTCCATAAACGTAATTAATATGATTGAAAATACGATTAATAATGATTTTAATGGAACGTACGGGAGGACATAAAAGGGGCAAATAATTTTTAATTTACTTTATTACCTGAGTCATCTCTATAATTTTTTTAATCACCGGCCGACATTCTTGGTCCAGTATATATACTAGTTTTGAGCTTTAATATCTGATCTGCTTAATTCACTCTCCATCTGTTTTATTTTTCAAAGTGCTTGCGCCGGCCGCCAGCAGCCCAGCACAGAGATGCATTAAAGATTTTTTTTAAGAGTAAAATACATCAACTACCCTTCTATTTTATCTCAATTACAGAAACATTTCTTTTATTTTGAAAACCTATATAAACCTCCTTTAAAATTAAAATGTATATTACACAAACTTCCCTCCTACATTTAATATTCCATTTCTATCCATCCAAACTGTTAGTTGATCGTTAAGTTTGACTTTAAATTATTTTTTGACCAAAATACCCCTTCTTAGCATAACAATTATTTAGACATTTATATTTTCCCCAAAAATGTTTTTCATAAAACCAAAAATAATTCTAATACATATATTTTTAAAATTTCTAATATGTCATAAAATTTATTAATTTTGATTTAAATAATAAAATTTTATAATTTAATTTTTTATGACATTCATTAAAATTTATTTACTTCGATTTCTTTTAAATTGTAAAAACGTATTTGAAATACATAATTTTTGTTTATCATCAAGTTTAAATGATATAAGTTTGAAAGATTTTATAAATTATTTAAATTTATACTTCAAAACTTTTAAACACATCTTTGTTACAGAAATTTATAAACATATATAGTTAGGTATATATATATTTATTGAAAAAATTAGTTAAATTTTTAATCAAGTCTTTTACATTTGCCTTAACTGAATAAAATTCGTGTTACTATAAAAATATAATTTAGAAATTTATTAGAATGAGGGGTAAAATAGTAAATAAAATTTATTTAAATATAAATTTCAGTTAAAATAATATTTTTTAGAATTTTTTTAGAATATTTCTAATGGTGTTAACTTATTGGACCAAACTATATGTTTTTAAAATAGAGGGAATGTCAGTGTAATTAATACAAACTAAGAGGGTTGTCAGATTACTTTACTTTTTTTTAATCATGTAAGTTCTACAGAGCTGATGAAAATAATATATATTTATATATATATATATATGAATTTTCAAAGCTAACATTAAATTTGATAGGTTTCATGAATATGTAATCTAGAGGGGTTTTAACTCGATCCTCAAAAGCCCGTGTTTCTATATGTTTCTGGTTTGGGATGCTACTGTTGAAGGCTGAAATCGGATTGGTAAATATTACTTCTGTTCTTAATATAAAATTAAGTTGACTAAAATTTTAAAAAATTAAGAAAGTTAAAGAAATTACTTTAAAATATTTATATATTGTTTCTTTCTAAACTAATTTGTCTTGCTTACAAACTGATATATAGCCTAATGAGATACATAAATGTTTCAAAGATAATCTTTTTGAATTAGTCAACTAAGTCTTACATTAAGAATTTGAGATAATGTATGCTTACTTTTCTGACATAGCATTTTTATTCGTCATTAATTGTTTCTATATATTGTGTGGTTATGAAGTTGGCTCAGAAGCCTTCATCATTGTTGAATTGATAATTGGGTTTTCGGATTTTTTTTTGTGTGGGTAAAGGGGTTTTTGACTTTTGATTTGGTATGAAATTTTTGCTTGCATTATGAAACCATGCTCGTAAGTCGTAATTTTAAACATGAAGAATGGCAGCATGTTTATGTACTAATTGAAGATTGGAATCCCTTCTTTTTCGGAAACTTGACAATCATCAATGCTAAGAGAGAAGCTACCATATATGACATCAAACTCTGTTCACTTTGGATCAATGTTTTAAAAGCCGGACCGGAAATCAAACCGGAAAGATCAACGGGTCATGGTTCAATCGGTCGGATCGGTTAGACCGGTGACGCAATAATTAATTTAAAACAATATTATATACATATAATTAGTATATATGAAAAATATCAAATTATTAAATAATTTAGAAATGCATTTAAATAATCTAAAATTATAATGAAATCATTGAAAATGGACTAAAACCTTATATATTTAAATTTATGTATGTTTAAAATATTTAATGATATTACAAATTATCAATTCATTCAAATCAAAATATTTTTTTAAAAGATAGACCAAATATCGAAATAAAAAGACTAGCGACTCACGATTTTAACACCACAATATATGAAATTTTCAATGAATAATACTATATGGTTATAAATAATCTAAAAATATATTAGGATATTTAAGGGGATCAATTTTTTATTTTTCTTCTATTTTTTAAAATTTTTTTAGTATTTTTCAGTCAGGCTAAAAAACCGTCCGGTTTTCTGAAAACCGTTCCGGTTTCCGGTCCAACTCCGGTTTCTGGCTTAATAACGGCTCAACTCCGGTTCAATCCGGCTCAACTATGTGAACGGTTTTTTGGTCCAAACCGAGCCGTTAACGAGTCCGGGTGACGGTTCAACCGGTCCGACCGTCCGGTTCGGTCCGGTTCTTTAATCATTGCTTTGGATTGTCGGTCTGTTTCTGCTAATTAATCGTTTCTGGCTTTCATTGCGGGCGTGTCTTGGGAAGCATCTCTTTCTATTATTAGATGGGAAATAACTATTAATAAAAAGTCAAAAGCAAGTATATTATTTGGATCATATAGGACAGGTTTTTAAAGGTTTCAAAACGATTGTTGAGTCTCATATTGATAATTTATATATGGATAATGATAATTGATCATTGATTAATTATTAGTAATATTATTTGTGTTTAGATAGTCTATATATATATATATAAACATATATATACATATGATACGGAAGTTCAATACGACATGCATAAAAATACAACTTTTAAGTTTGCCTTCTTATTTGAGAGCAATAAATTATTGATTTAGCGCTTTAAAGGTAGTTCTATCAAACTCTTTTGCCAACCTTAACAATTTTCTTTTATACATGTATATATATAATTCACCAAACACCATTCACAAAATTTTTTTGTTTCTTTTAATTTCTGAAACGCACCAAACATCATTTTTACCCATTTCCATTATTTTTTTCAATCTGAATTGCCATCTCCATTTGATGTTGGTTTTTTTTTTTTCAATTAAAGAGTTAAAGTACAAATCTACATATGAAGTATAATTCTGCCGTTGATATCTAATACTATAAATTTTCTTAGGATAAAAAAGAACAAATGACATTTTCAAATTGACATAAAAATAATGCCTCGTTCATTGATAACTTGAATTGGATTAGTTTAGTGTTCAATCCGAATTTGCATTCACAAAAGTAAATTCATACGCTATGTTTACTTAATTAGTATTCCCTCCGTTCCTTATTATAAGAGACAAATAACCAAATCACGTTGATAAAAAAAATAGTTAAAATTAGTTGGGGACAATTAATATGTAAAAAGTATAATATTTTTTTCACAATGCCCCCATTAATAAGGAGAGAGTATGAGAGAGAATAATTAAATTATTAAAAGAAAGATAAGTGGGAGGGAGAGAGAGTATAAGTTGGAGACAAAATAAATAGGGGTAAAATAGGAAATCAATACAAAAAAATAGAGACAACTTTTAAGTGTCTCTTATATATGGGAACATGCCATAAGCATCAAATGTCTCTTATAATAAGGAACGGAGGGAGTAATTAATAAACAAAGGGGATGCCGCTTTTCTTTCAGACCTATTTATGAGCACCGAATATAAGTGGCAGTGCCATGTGAGCATGCTAGTCCTCTTCCCCCAGGAGAATGCAGCATATTGAATTCTTTGGTCCCAATATATATATATAAATTAAAAATTTGCCATTATTAGAAAATTGAACTTGTGGATTTTGGGTCAGCTCTTAGCTGCCATCAAGATAAGAAGATCCCAAGAATTAATCAGTACGTTGTTTTCATCTTAATAAATAGTGGACCCATCTTTCTCTCTCCATGCATATGCTCTTTTTTCTTCACTTGGAAGAAAGAAAACGAGTGCTTTAAATTTGTACAACAACTACACCCATCACTGCGAGGGAATAATTAGCTAGCTAGGAAATCACCTTCAACATATCACTGGCTGCCACTTTTAACTTAAATATTTCCCATACTGAACTTCCTCATCATGT